TCTGATGTAAGTTCCATGAGAGACAGGAGTATCTGTCTTTTTCAACCTTTTCCACCACCTAGTGAAAGTGGGTAACAGGCAGAGGTTGGACAAATTTAGAGGGCTCAGAAGAAGACAGGAAGTTGTGGCAAAGTTTGGAACTCCCTAGATACTTGTTGAATGGCTTTGATCAAAATGCTAATAATGATATGGACAGTGAAATCCAGGCTGAGATGGTCTCAGATAGAGATGAGGAACTTGTCAGGAACTGGAGCAAAGGCAACTCCTGTTGTGTTTTAGCAAAGAAACTGGCAGCATTTTGCTCCTGTGCTAGAGATGTGTGGAAGTTCGAACTTGAGAGAGATGATTTAGGGTATGTGACAGAAGAAATTTCTAAGCAGCAAAGCATTCAAAACGTAACTTGGGTGCTGTTAATGACATTCAGTTTAAAAGGGAAACAGAGCATAAGAGTTTGGAAAATGCAGCTTGACAATGTGATAGAAAAGAAAATCCCATTTTCTGAGGAGAAATTCAAACCAGCTACATAAATTTGCATACGTAATGAGGAGCCGAATGTCAGTCACCAAGACAACAGGGAAGGTGTCTCCAGGGCACGTCAGAGACCTTTGCAGCAGCCCTTCTGATCACAGGACGGGAAGTTTAGGAGGAAAAAATGGTTTTGTGTGCCAGGCCCAGGGACCCCCTGCTGTGTGCAGTCTAGGGATTTAGTGCCCTGCATCCCAGCTACCCCAGCCATGACTAAAAGGAGTCAAGGTGCAGTTCAGGCTATTGCTTCAGAGGATGGGAGTCCCAAGCCTTGGCAGCTTCCACTTGGTATTGAGCCTGTAGGTGCACAGAAGTCAATAATTGAGGTTTAGGAACCTCCACCAAAATTTCAGAGGATGTTTGGAAGTGCCTGGACATCCAGGCAGAAGTTAGCTGCAATGTCTGGGCCCTTATGAAAAACTTCTGCTAGGAGGGTGTGAAAGGGAAACGTGAGGTTGCAGCCCCCACACAGAGTCCCTACTGGGACACCACCCGGTAGAGCTGTAATAATAGGGCCACCATCTCCACACCCCAGAATAGTGGATCCACTGACAGCTTGCACGGTGCGCCTGGAAAAGTCACAGACACTCAACACCAGCCCATGAAAGCACCCAGGAGTGGGGCTATACCCTGCAAAGCCACAGGGGCAGAGCTGATGAAGGCCATGGGAGCCCACCTCTTGCATCAGCGTGACCTGGATGAGACATGGAGTCAAAGGAGATCATTTTGGAGCTATACGATTTGACTTCCCCACTGGATTTCAGGGCATGGGGCCTGTAGCCCCTTTCTTTGACCAATTTCTCTGGTTTGGAATGGCTATATTTACCCAATCCTGTACTCCCATTGTATCTAGGAAGTAACTAACTTGCTTTTGATTTTACAGGCTCATAGTTGGAAGGGACTTGCCTTGTCTCAGATGAGACTTTGGACTGTGGACTTTTGAGTCAATGCTGAAATTAGTTAAGACTTCAGGGGACTTTTGGGAAAATATAATTGGTTTAGATATGTGAGAACATGAGATTTAGGGGGGACTAGGGGCAGAATGATATGGTTTGGCTGTGTCCCCACCCAAATCTTATCTTGAATTCCCATATGTTGTGGGAGAGACCTGGTGGAAGGTAACTGAATCATGGGGCAGGTCTTTCCCATGCTGTTCTCGTGGTAATGAATAAGTCTAACAAGATCTGTGGGTTTTTAAAATGGGAGTTTCCCTGTACAAGCTCTTTTTGCCTGCTACCATCCATGTAAGATGTGACATGCTCCTCCATGCCTTCCACCGTGATTGTGAGCCACATGGAACTGTAAGTGCATTAAACCCTTTTTCCTATATAAATTACCCAGTCTTGGGTATGTCTTTATCAGCAGTGTGAAAAAGAATTAATACAAATCATATAATATGTGGCCAGGCATGGTGGCTCACACCCATAATCCAGCACGTTGGGAGGCCTAGGTAGGTGGATCACTTGATGTCAGGAGTCCAAGCCAACTACCACACCCAGCTAATTTTCGTATTTTTAGTAAAGACGGAGTTTCACCGTGTCAGCCAGGCTGGTCTCAAACTCCTGACCTCAAGTGATCTGCCCGTCTAGGCCTCCCAGAGTGCTGGATTACAGCCATGAGCCATCATGCCTGGCCACAATATTATATAATTGAAATGGTTCTAAGCTCTTTCTATTCAATCTTTACTATAATAATTTAAGGGAAGTACTATAAGAACATTTTGTAGATGAGAAACTAAGAGATGGGGAAATTAAATAATTTGCAGTGGCAATGCAAGTTAGTTGGTAATTGGAACGAAATTTGAACCCAGACTGTCTGGTTGCACATCTTGTGCTTTTAACAGCCATGCTACCCTGAGCATTGAGGCGTTCTCTGTTACATTCTAATAGTGAGAATCTCAATTACTCTTCGGATCTATTGTTCTCTACTTGAAATTACACCAATTATCCCAGGCTTGTGGGGAGTATTTGGTGATGTAATTTATGAACATTTTAGAGAAATGCAAAATGATTTCAGTTAATATACAATAGCCTATGATCATTATTCATTTTCTTTAGGTCACTGTTTCTCTGATCTATGTATTGATCAGAAGTCAATGAATACAACTATTCTATTGCTTCTTTTATTATTGGTGTCATTAGTATGTGTTGTACTAGCAGTTCAAGCAATAAAAGATAGCAAAGAAGTAGGAAAACAATTAATAAGTGGGTAGCAGCAAAAATGACATCCATGAAGCAGAATGGACAAATGCAACAAACCTTACCTCACAACTAATCTTTGAGAATGAATTTAAAATAAAGAACAAGGTCTTAAACATGCTGAAATGTCACTCGAAAACCAAAAATGTTTATATGTACCTAAAAGACAGAAATCTAACAGGATTGAATTGAGGAAGAAAATCTGGGCCCGAAGATAGAAACCAGATAGGATGGTTGATACGGATGAGATGAGTCCCGCAGACTCTGCTAACTTGCAATTAATGAAAATAAAGAGGAATCTGGAACCAAGGATAATCATCCTTAGGATGACTGCTTAGAGATGGAATGTAAAACAGTCAGGCAGGTTGGTCCCGTTTCCACACCCCCTATGCAAACAGAAACATTTACACACTACACACACACACACACACACACACACGCGCGTGCGCGCACACACACACACAGAAACAGTCAAGCAGTGAACAGTGTCGTATCTGCTTCCAGAATGGAGACATTAGCATAAAGAACTGGGTCACAGAAGCAGCACAGTGTTCCAGGTGGTTGGCAACACCCAAAAGAAATGAAAAAATCTTCATGCCTGCACTGGAAGGTCCGGCGCTGGTAGATTCCAGCTGTCTCCACTCAAACATTGCAGGCAGGGAAAGAGGAATTAAACTTGATTCTTCTGAGCAGTACATTGCCAAATGATTTATCGCTTTAATGTCCTTAGTACAACGACAATGACTTTGTTTTAGTATAATATCTCTTTTTTTAACATTTGAATCCCTTCTGATATAAGTTTCACGAGAGATGGAAGTATCTGTCTTTCAACACCGTTTTCCCAACACGTTTTGCATTGTCTGGAACCTCTGAAGCACCGGGTTGAGCTGCCACTGCAAATGGTTTGACAATACTTTTACATATCTGTGTATATGTGTGTTTGTGTATATTTGTACAGAACAAACCTCAGCCATACCCATCTTATCTTATTCTATCTTTGGGCCCAGATTTTCTTCCTCAATTCAATCCTGTCAGATTTCTATCTTTTAGATTCCAACTGTGTCCATTCGAACATTGTAAGCAGGGGAAGAGGATATTCTGAAATGCAAATATAAAACTGCAATCAAGAGTGACAACCCACACAGTGAAGCACAATCTCATTAAAGAGAGTCAGCAAACAGACAAGTCATAAGAAAAAAATGAATAAGTACATAAAAAGCACAGGTACTGAAAAAATGAGAAAACAGTCAACGACTATTGATAATATAGTTGCCTTCATTGACAATTCAGGAGAAACCAAATGACAGACTATTTAGATCAATAAACAAGTTCACCAGGTAAAAGATTACTAAAGGGTTTAAAATTACTGCTGCCAGATAGTAAGTACTATGTAAGTATTAGCTACTTATACAACAGTGACCAACAGAAAAATGGAAGTTAAAAAAACTTCCAGGTCGCGCGTGGTGGCTCAAGCCTGTAATCCCAGCACTTTGGGAGGCCAAGGCGGGTGGATCACAAGGTCAAGAGATCGAGACCATCCTGGTCAACATGGTGAAACCCCGTCTCTACAAAAAATTAGTTGGGCATGGTGGCACGTGCCTGTAATCCCAGCTACTCAGGAGGCTGAGGCAGGAGAATTGCCTGAACCCAGGAGGCGGAGGTTGCGGTGAGCCGAGATCGCGCCATTGCACTCCAGCCTGGGTAACAAGAGCGAAACTCCGTCTCAAAAATAAAATAAAATAAAATAAAGTAAAATAAAAATAAAAATAAAAAAACTTCCACAAAAAGAATTACAGAAAATATTTCTAAAGGAAGATAATTGACAACCTCTAGAAAATAGACTAGAAAGGGGCAGAATCACATGTAAACACAGTGCTATAAGGCTAAGTAGTCAATTAACTGTCAACTACTTATCAAATAAGTAAATACTGAGAAATAATCATCAGCTAATTGTAAAAACAAACATCTATCATCCAATTGTGCAAGAGGGGAGTATGTTTGACTGGAAGTCAGGAGACCTTAAATTCTCTACCTAGATTTACCACTGACCAGCCTTGAAATTAAAACTATTTGGGAATCAGTTTTTTATATTTGAAATTGGGGAGGAGGAAGGTCTAGGGAGACGGGCAGATTCATTAATGAGCTCACTCATCAACGCAGCTCTGTAACTTTACAAACCAAAATGCTGTGAATGACTGTCCTGGTTCCGCCGGCACCCAAAAGAGGGCGGCCCCGAGCGCAGCTGAGATTTACGGGAGCCGATTTGAGTTTCATTACCCAAAACATCCACAGGGTGGCGATAACGCCGAACTGAAAGTGAATTCAGAGTGGAAATTCTCAGAAACCGTATTCTTCCACGGCCAGTGTTTACAGATTTCCCCTTCCCTGATTTCACGATGTCTCCGAGGACACAGAAGCTGGCGGAACAAAGGCCGTCCACAAAGCAATGACGGTGATGGCAATGACTCCCACGCGAGAACCGACTGTGATCCAGACGCTTGGCAATCCTCGCAGTCGTGCAAAGGAGACTTGACCGTTCTCGTCCTCATTTTACAGAAAAAATAGAAAGAGAGACATCAAGTAAATTACCTAAGGTAACCGAGTTAGTGAGTGACCTAGGCAGAATTCAAGCCTTCGTCTAGGGTCAATGTCATGGTTCTTTCATCACAGCTTGCTGACAGCTCTGAAGAAAGCCTGTTTGACTAACACAAAGTGGTCTTTCTAACCATCTTCCTCACTGATGTAGAAATGAGAATTTTGCCATTCTTTTTCACAACTGAAAAGAAGCTTAAAAGAGTCTATTCATTTTTGTCACAGGATAATATTAATAACTCTCCCAGCCACAATTAAATGATGATTGTATAGCTACAGCAATTTCAATTTTAGTGTTTATAACAGGCTAGCTGGCATTAATCCCCTGCTGCATAAATGAGGCAAGAACATTTCTTCATTGACTGTCATCTTAAGGCAGGCTAAGTTAGAAATAACGCAATTCCATTTAAATCTAGTTAAAGGGGAAGAAAGACGGTTTTTCAGTGTAATTATGGGTCATTTCAAGAACCCAAGAAGTTTCTTTAAGTGATGCAGAAGATTAGAATCGACTACCGGAAAACTATAAGAATTACACAGTTATTCAAACTTATGCTCTCTCTCTTTCTTTCCATGTTCTCTAGTCCATGGTTTTCTTAATATCCTTGGGCTATTGCACTTTTCTATTGACTGGCTTTCTCTTCTCTAGACTCCCCAGTTCCTGAATTCCCACATCCTCAGCTTAAGTGCCTATCAGAGGCTGACCTATATCTGTGTATTTTGGTCCCTAACTTCTAGGAGAAAGAATCCAGTATGGCCTGGGTACAGCTGTTGAGCAGCTAAATGCAAACAAAGGTGATGGCTATCAAAGCAGTATGTTCTGAGAAACACAGACACCCCAGGAGACATATGTTATGACTGGCTACATGTCTTTTTGAGAAGTTAAAAAGAAATAATTTATTTCCCAGAAGAAATTCTAAATCATTTGGCATGTTCAGATTTTCCCCCTATACCTATGGTAATAACACTAAAAAAAAACACATAATTTTGGATACAGATTTTAACAGTTTCTCAGAATATTTGAAGATGGCCCAAAATTATAATATTCCGAATTTGTATTTACATCTATGCCTCAGTCTATTTTTATAACATATTGTTTTTTAAAAATGTACCTTGCTGGGTGCAGTGGCTCAGGCTTGTAATCCCAACACTTTGAGAGGCTGAGGCAGGACGATCACCACGAATCTAGGAGACCAGTTGGAGATCAGTCTGGGCAGCATAGCGAGACCCCGTCTCTACAAAAAAATTAAAAACTAGCCAGGCAACCTGTAACCCTAACTACTTGGGAGGCTGAGGTAAAAGGATCTGTTTGAGCCCAAGAGTTCAAGGCTGCAGCGAGCTATGATCATGACGCTGCGTTCCAGCCTAGGAGACCCAGTGCAACCCAAGATGGAGTCGCTGAAATACTTCACCATTTGCAATGAGTATTTTTTTTTTCCTGGAAAACAGTCCTTAAATAATAAAGCAGGGCCAGGCACAGTGGCTCACACCTATAATCCCAGCATTTTTGGAGGCTGAAGTCGAAAGATTGCTTGAGCCCAGAAGGTTGAGATTGTAGTAAGCCATGATTGTGCCACTGCACTACAGCCTGGATGACAGAGCAAGACCTTGTCCTAGGGAAAATAAATAATAATAAAGCATATCTAGCAAGAATATTTAATGTCCTGATTAGAGGCAGGTGAGTGAATTTTTTAAATGACATTCTGAAGTTGTTTGCAACCAACATTTATTATTATTCTTAGCAAAAGAGAAAGGTAAAAGTCACCAATGCATTGTAAGTGTAAGCTGTTATCAAAAGCTAAATTACATGCTGCTTATGCCCTAAATCAGTGGTTCCCAAATTATAGTACCCTCTAGAATTGCCTGAAGGGCTTGTTAAAACGTGAATTGCTGCCTGCCAGCCACCTTCTTCCCCTTCAAATTTTTGACTCATTAAGCCAGGGGTAAACAGTCAAAACATCTGCGTCTCACAAATTCCCAGACAATGCAGTGCTGCTAATCTGGGACTGCACTTTGAGAACGCTTGCTCTAAGCTCAGGACAGAGAGACAATTTCTAACTGACATTTTTCTAGGTTTATGACAGAGTTATACCAGACACAACCAAATGAACCAAAACCCAAAATCACACAAATAGACAGCAAAATTTTTCACTGGCCTGCTTCTCAAGATCTATTTACAACTGGGGACAATAGTGCTCAGGAGAGTTAAAAAAATACATAGGTGCATTCACAAATGACATCCTCCATACTCTCAAAGGTAAGTGAAAGCTCAAAAGCCGGAGTCAAGGCTAGTACTAGACAAAATGAAAAGGGAAACACTACGAGCTCACACTGTCACGTGTTTGTAAAGGAGCATGGTATAAGGGAATTGTTACAGCTTTTGTTGTCAGGCTAACCAGTGTTTAAAACCTAGTTCTGAGGCTGGGCACGGTGGCTCAAGCTGTAATCCCAGCACTTTGGGAGGCTGAGGCGGGTGAATCACAAGGTCAAGAGATCGAGACCATCCTGGCCAACATGGTGAAACCCCACCTCTACTAAAAATACAAAAAATTAGCTGGCATGGTGGCACGCGCCTGTAATCCCAGCTACTCAGGAGGCTGAGGCAGGAGAATTGCCTGAACCCAGGAGGCGGAGGTTGCGGTGAGCCGAGATCGCGCCATTGCACTCCAGCCTGGGTAACAAGAGCGAAACTCCGTCTCAAAAAAAAAAAAAAACCAAAAAACTAGTTCTGCCATTTACTAAATATGGAGTCTGAGGATTTACCTAACTCTCTGAGAACGTTTATTCGACTGTATACTTGTTTTCATAATAATTATTTAGAGTGATGTTGAGAACACTATCAGATAACATATACTAAAATGCCTAGTACATAGTAGCACTCACATGTTATAATGCCTAGCACTCACAGAAGCCACCATACATTGCTTCAGGGTCCTATTATGTTCAAGGAACTCAACCAGGTTATTTTATCCTAACAAAAGTTTTTTCAGTAGTCATCACCATAACCATCATTATTCCTATTTTGGAAAACAAAATAAAACAAAACAGAATGACAAGATTGCTTAGGCAAAAATTCAAACCCGCAACAGTTTGAAGCCAAAGGTTTATACAAAGATGAGTTATCTTATACCTCTTATAGTTCACATGTCAAGTCCCTGGCAGTTATGAAACAGAGGTGTCATTGCAGAATAACCCTCATTTCATCAGTATTCCAAGTCTTGCTCTCTTTAGCTTTCTTCTTTCTAAGTAACGATCACTACTTTTATTTATTATTCCATCAGGACCTTGTGGGCAGACCTAATCAAACAAATATAAGATGCAGGAAAGTTTATTTTGGGTAACTTATCTCCATTTTCTCCTTCATTGTTTCAGTAATTCTTTAGTCTTTCTGCTATTAGACTTGTTCCCAGAGGGAGGGTGGGATCTGACCTTGAACTTCTTTTACAAAGTAGATTCTCATCTTCTCACACGATTTATTCAACAAACACAACAGAGGCTGTTTTATTAAACTAGTTTACACTATATTGTCCGTGATATAAAATGACATAAATGCCTTTTTAAGGACATTTTCATCCTTACCTACACCCTCCTTATGCCAATATCTTCGCCATCTCTCCCAAAATACTATGCTCATCAAAGTGTCACTCAGATGTCATTTCTTCATGCTTCTTCATCTTATTCCCAGATTTTTCTTTGTCTCCACATACCTACAAGATTGCGAGTAACTTTTTTGTGTTCTTTGCATGCTTCACTTCCTATATTAGATAATGCTTGTCTTCTGTTTTTCTCCATGAGATTGTGTTTTTTCTTGTGTATGAACATCTACTCCCTTATCATTCTTTTGGGGCTCACTTTTACTTGGGCCCGCTTCAGGAGCTGCAGAGACTGGCGAGACACCAGAAGTTCACAATCCGTGATGTCAGAAGAAGCTTTGAGAAGCTGGGGAGTCTTTAGAAAGAAGGTAAAGTGTAATCCCAGTTTTAAAAACATAATGAAAACTCTCAGGTGTGCAAACAAGAAAGAGTATTCCAGACAGATGAAACAGTATGCAAAAACGTCTGAAGCCGTGACAGCACACGAGTAAAAAGAGGATTTCTAGAGGAGGCAATACACTTACCTAGAGATGGAAGATTCGACGCAGGAATGCCTCCACTAATCTGTGTGTAGACGTGCTTGGCATCACTAACCCATCAAGAGTCTCCTTCATGCTGAGCTCAGATGAGACCCCAGAGCTCTTAATGAATCAGTCCAGGCAACCACTGCTAATCCACTGAAGTTTTCACAAGATATGAAACCTCTTTACCAAAACCAGACTAACTAAAATGTAGGAGTTTCTATTTGTTAGGATTTCAGTCTCCTGGGGCATATATTTTACAGTAGATGAAGTTTTAATGTGAATAACTCAAATGAGTTCTTATTGGTGACAGGCTTCTGTCTATATGTAAGTAAAATAAAGGTAACAAGATGCTAGTGTTGCTAAAGAGAGGGCCAGAGACTGGAAAAGAAGGGAAAAATGATAAAAGGGGGAAAAGACCTGCCATTCCAGCATTTTGGGAGGCCAAAGCAGGAGGATTGCTTGAAGCCAGGAGTCTGAGACCAGTCTGAGCAACAAAGCAAGACCTTGTCTCTACAAAAATAAAAATAAAAATTATTAATAGCAGGATGTGGCGATGCATGCCTGTCGTCTCAGCTACTCGGGAGTCTGGGGTGGGAGGACTGCTTGAGCCCAGGAGGTCAAGGCTGCAGTGAGTAGTGACCAGGCCACTGCGCTCCAGCCTAGGTGACAATGCAAGACTCTGTCTCAGGCCAGGAGCGATGCCTCGCACCTGTAATTCCAACAATTTGGGAGGCCAAGGTAAGTGGATAACAAGGTCAGGAGTTCAAGACCAGCCTGGCCAACATGGTGAAATCCTGTCCCTGTTTAAAATACAAAAATTAGCCAGGCATGGTGGCAGGTGCCCATAGTCCAAGCTATTTAGGAGGCTGAGGCAAGAGAATCGGTTGAACCTGAGAGGCAGAGGTTGCAGTGAGCCGAGATCATGCCACTGCCACTTTAGCCTGGGTAACAGTGAGACTTCATCTCAGAAACACAAAACAAAACAAAACAAAAAACACTCCATCTCAAAATAAGAAAAAAAAAAAAAAAAGGCCAGCGTGGGGAGGGGACAAAGGGCATGCTGAGTCAGGCTCCAGGAATTCCGTTACCTTTTTGCTTCCTAGCATTCAGATGAGTGATAACAAACAAGCCGAGTTAACTAGAGCTGTGGGTAAGCAACCTGAAATAACCTTCCTGGGCTCTTTAAGAACCTTACTTTTTGGTAGATGTTTCAAAATGTTGCTACATTATTCGTTTGATTCTGTTTGGTACATACGTGTTGCCCCAGGAATTACATACCCAAATAAATAACAGTAATGTGTATCTTTACAGTCACAATAATCACATGCAACTCTGCCTAAAGCTCTTTACTGCCTCTAGCGGGTCTTGAGACCTCCCGCTCAGTCCCCTCTTGACAATCTGAGACTACCGAGTTATATGTGACAGAGATTGTCTTACTCGGCTCAGACTGCCATAGCAAATATAAACGGTGCCTTAAAAAAAACAAGAATTTATTTCTTACAGTGCTGGAAGCTGGGAAATCCAAGATTGAGGTACCATCCCACTTGGTACCCCAGTGAGGGCTCTCTTCTTGGCTTGCAGATGGCTGCCTTCTCACTGAGTCCTCACAAGGCAGGGAGAGGGAAGGTTCCGGTCTTTTCCTTCTCTTGTAAAGACACGAATTCCATCATGGTGGTCCAATCCTCATTACCTCCTCTGAACCTGATTCCTTCCCGAAGGCCGTACCTCCAATACCATCACATTGATGGTTAGGCCTTCGACATATAAAATTTGGGGAGGAAGGGAAACAGACATTCAGCCTGTAACACCTGTCAGTATTAACTTAGTTTTTATAAGGCATTCCTAAGTTATTGAAGTCTTTAGACATTGTTTACAAGTTGCTCCCCAGAAAGCTAGTGAGAAATGAATCAGCATTATTACAGCCTTTTAAGACAGAGAAAAGAAGGTCAGGTGTGGTGGCTCACACCTGAAACCCCAGCACTAAAGGAGCTCGAAGCAGGAAGATCTCCCGAGCCCAGATTCAAGACTAGCCTGGGCAACATGGCAAGACTCCATTTCACAAAATAGTTAAAAATTAGCCAGGTGTGATGGTGCACATCTGTGGTATCAGCTACTACGGAGGCTGAGGCAGGAAGATCCCTTAAGCCCAGGAATTTGAGGTTGCGAAGAGCCTTGTTTGCACTACTGCATGCCAGCCTGGGTACGGAGCGAGACCCTATCTCAAAAATTAATAATAAGATAGGAAAAAAGACCTCAAATTTAGCAGGTTATATTCTGAAGGGCTGACAATCAATAGCAGAGCCTTTCTATAACTAATGTCCCTTTTGCCTTTTGGTCATGAGCGTTGTGATTGACCAATAGAACCTGGTAAAATAATGTTATTTTCTTGGTTATCTTACAGTTTTATTGAATCTTCACAATATGCTAGATGCTGTAAATCTGCATGGATTACAATACTTTTATCAACATGAATAAGTCACAAAATATGCCAAATGTACAATGGCCCACATATATTATATATATATTTAATGTGTTTTATATTTCGATGTGGGTGTTTAGACATAGTGAGATATTTACATTATGCTCTTCACCCTTATTTTGATCTGTTCCCCAACCTGCCAGGTGACCACAGGTACTGTGACCAATGACGAAGATGCTTGACTTTCTGCTTAGAGGCCTTACGCTTCTTGGTGTACCATGAAGAACCACTCTAACTCCTCTTCAGTGGCCAGTTCTGTGGTTTTATCATAGCAATTGGTAGATTAATAAATTTTAAAAGTAAATTTGATTTATAATGACAGAAAATGCATTTGAACATATAGTATCCATATATATATATATATATATATATATATATACACACACATATATATATACACCAAATTGTAAATGCGTAGAAAAAATCCTGAAAGGATTTTTAAAAAGCTTTTAGAATTTTTAACTTTTTTAGTAAATAATTTCAAATGTACAGAAAAGTTAGAAGTGGAAGAGTAGTACAAAAATAATCCAAATACATGCCTTTTACCCAGACTCACTGATTAAAATTTTACACCACTTGCTTTATGATCTCTCTTCTTCTGCCTGAATCGCTTGAGGGTAAGTTACATAAATCACAGTCCTTTACCCCAAACTTTTCAGGATGTATTTCCTAACAATCATGATTGTCTCTTACATAACTACAGTACGGGTGTCAGCTTAAACAAATTCTACTTTATATCACAGTGTTAAACATAATGCTTTAACCTACTATCGGAATTCCAGTTCTGTCAGTTGACCCAATAATGTCTTTGGTTGATTTTTTTAAATCTTCTGGTTCACAGATACAGTCTACTACTGCATTTAGTTGTCATGCCTTTTCAGCTTCTTCTAATCTTGACTATATAGTCAGCTTTTTTTTTTTTGCCTTTTATTAACATTAGCATTTTTGAAGAATATACTCCCCCCTCTTTTTAATACAGCATTCCTCATTTGAGTTTTGTTCAGTAAGTCCTCATTATTAAATTCAGGTTATGCATTTGCAGCTGGAATCCTACCTAGGTGATGTTGTATCCTCACATGACACCTCATCTAGAGACACACGGTGTCCATCCGCCACTCATTGATGCTGTTAATCTTGATGACCACCTAGTCAAGGTGTTGTTCAGTTTCTCCACTGTGTAATTACTATTTTTTCTCTTCCAACTAATAAGAAATTTGTGGGGAGACACTTTGAACCCATGGAGACGTCCTGATCCTCATCAAATTTTCTTCCTTGATTCTTTAAGTGGATGAATCTTACCTTGATCCAGTGAGTGCCACAATGGTTGCTAACTGCTGATTTACAATTCAGTTTGCCTTTCACATCCACCCGTCAGCACTTACTCAGCATTTTGTTCTTAAGCAAGAGTCCTCTCCTCTCCATTTATTCGTTTACTTTTTTACTCACCATGACTCTCTAGCCTCCTATACTTTCAATGGCCTGTAAGTCATTACTGTACCTAATTATGCAAAAAAAAAAAAAAAACAAACCTTTTAATAGTGGTTATCTCTGGTGAGTGGGATTTGGAGAAAAGGCTTTCAAAGGGAGATTTTCACTTTTTACAAACTCTTTACTTTTTAAGCTTTTCGTAATAGCGCGTATTCCTCCCTCTTTTTAAAAAATTGAATAGAAAAATTTAAAAACGATAAAAGAAAGTATTTCCCTGGGACACTGTAGGAGCAGAAGGACATAATAGAAAATCAGCCTTGAGACAGTGGACACGTAATACCTATTTCTTATTTAAGACATGCACATAAGAAAGGTAAATTTTTGGAGTTACAGTGATGGCTCATGGCCTGTAAACTATCTTCTTGTGGTCAGCTGGCTGGGTGTACATATTAACTAGTTAGAATTAGCTCTGCAGTGTGGGGCTTAACACTGTGGTCAATACTAAATTAACTGTCACCAAGATATCCCCACTTATTACAGAACTTTCTATGGCTTCAAGATGTCAAGGAAACAATGAAGACATGAATCTTCACAAAATGAAATATCCATAAATTGTCAAATTACTTTATTTTCTTTAAATGGAATTAAATCAAATCCAACCTGTCACTCAACCAGGCTGACAAAAAGATATAATTCAATATTATATTTCAATATTGCTCTACCTCATTTCCATAATCAATCCTTATATCTCTATAAAGAAAATATATACCTATTTTGTTGTCTTCTTCACAGCATACAAAAATAAACCATTTTTAAGCCTGAATGAGAGGTGTTTCAAAGACAGGAACCATCTGAGAAAAATCAGTGGCTGAATGGAGGGGTGATAGGTTTCCTGAGTTCCTCAAGAGCCAAATAGGTGAGCTGAGCACAGGGGACATTTCTTGCCTGTGTCTTTCAGAAACTGAGTCTTCTTGGAAATTTTTCTTTCTTCTGGAACAGTTCCAAATCCACTCATTGACAGGGCCACGCAGAATGTATAATGGCCTCAGAGAATTTGGCGTCTCAGGTAATGGAGTAGCCATATGGGGCTTACACAGAGATAGGAGTTTTGTTTTGTTTTGTTTTGTTTTTAATTGGTGGGAAACCATGAGTTACTCATTCAAACCAAATCTTTAGCCAAGCCTCTTTATCCTGGATGGCACTCTGTTTCTCCTTGCCCCTGACCCTTGGTTCGTCGTCCCCTGCTCACATCCATCCATGTCTGGGAGAAGAACGTGAGGGCGGTGCCCCTCTCCCTGCTCTTCATCCGTTACCAGGTGACCGTTTAGACGGTACTTTCCTCTTTCAAATTTCCAGTTTATTTTCTGAAACTCTTTCCTAAGCACAGGCCGTTCTCTGTTAGAAAGTACCTGGTAGCTGGTTAGCTTTTCCCAGTTCCTGAGCACAGTGTGTAGAGCTTATCCTAACTATGGCTTTGTAGGCACATCAGGTTGATCATAAGATAGTTGAGTTTGCCTGACTCACGAACTGAGGCGTCAACTGCATGTGGCCTCTACTGAGACAAGAGTGGCCCCACTGGAGCTCCCTCTCCTAAAGAACCCCAAAACACACTCAGCTTTTTCATCAAAGTACTTATTGTGTGGTTAGTTGTGAGCACGTAAATTTTCCTCAAAAGCACAATAAAAAGAAGGATGATTGCACACCCCTAAACGCTAAACAGCTATCTTATAAATGTGTCCCTTCTGATGATAAGCACATATTTACTGGGTATTTTGTTTGTGACAAGTATTATTCTAAGAACTTTATGTACACTGTTTCATTCATCACAACAATCTTATAATTATGATTATTCTTTTAAGAGCTGGGTCTTGCTCTGTCACTGACGTTGGAGTGTAGTGGTGCCATCAAAGCTCGCCACAGCCTTGACCTCCTAGGCTCAAGTGATCTTCCCACCTCAGCCTCCTGAGTAGCTAGGACTACAGACATGCACCACTGCACAGCTAATTTCTTTTAATTTTTTATTTCGTAGAGTCAGGGTCCTACTGTGTTGCCCAGGCTGCTCTCAAATTTCCTGGCTTCAAGCGATCCTCCCACTTCAGCTTTCCAAAGTACTGAAATTACAAGCATAAGCCACCATGCTGGGCAAGAGGCACTGCTCTTATCATCTCCTTTTACTGATGACGAAACTGAAAAAAAGAGGTGGAAATTTTTCCAAAGTTGCATAGCTTGTAAAATTGAAACCCAGGAAATACGACTTCAAATCTCCATTACCAAGCACTACAGATGCTGGTAGACCTAGTGTCACTATGAGGCCAGTCTTTCAGTTTCTCTCCGGGTGCCTCAGGCCACCACATTGACGACAGGTTAAAGTCTATGACAATTCAGTAGGGGTACCAGCATTCAAACGTTCGCAGAAGCAGGTTCTCCGATGAGAACGAGAGAAGGGTATCCAGTGTGGATATCCAGGGCCCCCAGTTACCTAAAACTTTGAAAAGTAGCATTCAGAGATTTTAATTGCCACCTTAACTGCACATCCACTCTCTCATGGGCCTTGGGCCAATCCACAGAAGAGGATCTGTTTGCCTGCACCCTATCTCCTGCTATGGTAGGAAACAGTTTGTTTTACCAGCTTCACTAGTTGAGAGAAATTTGGCAGAGGGATTGGGTACAGTCAGCTTAGGCTCTGCATACAGATGTTCAGCTTTGCTCCTGCCCATACAGGACTGAATGGGCCAGCTAGCCTTACTATATATATTATATATAATCAACTGCCCAAGCTTTCTGGCAACATTTGGAATATTTACCTGCAATCTTCTCTGGTTTTAAGTACCAAGAACCAGCTGTCTGGCACCTTGAACTGGTCTTAGAAACACATAGCTTGAGAGCACTCGTGGCTTCCTGAGGTTGACATCCTCAGACATTCTAGAGGTCATTTTTCTTTCTCAGCTACCTGCCACCTCATTATTGAGCCTTAATCAAGATGGAAATGTCTCTTCTCTTGAGATGGAAATGATCTCTCCTAAAAACACTCTCGGTTCCTGGTAGGTAATATCTCCATCACAAGCTAAGGCGCCTTTCCCAGGTTCTCTCATCTATCCCATCACGTTAAACCACGTGCCAGATGGCATGTCCGGGTGTGGGGAAATGGTGTTTGTCCTGTGCCTAGGATTCTGACAACATTACTTTGCCATCTTCAAGCAGAGGTTTAATTTTTAACAATCCATTCTGAAATGATGGTTTTATAGTCATACCCCCCAAAAAGTACTCTCCAGGTAATTGCTACACACTAGAACAGGAATGTATTTACCCTAATTTAATTTCTTTTTTTTTTTTTTTTTTTTTTTTTTTGAGACAGAGTTTCGCTCTTGTTACCCAGGCTGGAGTGCAATGGCGCGATCTCGGCTCACTGCAACCTCCGCCTCCTGGGTTCAGGCAATTCTCCCGCCTCAGCTTCCTGAGTAGCTGGGATTACAGGCACGCGCCACCATGCCCAGCTAATTTTTTGTATTTTTAGTAGAGACGGGGTTTCACCGTGTTGACCGGGATGGTCTCGATCTCTTAACCTCGTGATCCACCCGCCTCGGCCTCCCAAAGTGCTGGGATTACAGACGTGAGCCACCGCGCCCGGCTAATTTCTTTATCTCCTATGTGTAATGGTGTAGTAACTTTCAAACAGTCTCACAATAGTCCCCTAGACACATATCACTTGGGACTTGTGCACACCCAATTCCACACCAGAGTCACAGCTAGGCTGACCAGCAATCCAGTTTGCCTGGGACTAAGGCATTTCCCAAGATGTGGGACTTTCCGTGCTAAAATTTCAAAATGATTTGGCTTCAGTGCTAAGAGCTGTAATCTACCCATGGCTCTGATAAGGACTACACAAATATTTTTGGTAATTCCAGTGGCAGGGGGTAGGGGGAAGGCATATATGAGAGATGTAAATTATAGTCCACACATCTGGGTGTGGAGAAAAAAGGAAAGTCGTGCAGTGTATCAGACAGGGTCCTGGCAGGAAAAAGACCACATGATAAAGGCAACTGATTGAGATTTTAACGAAAAAGTTACCTTAAAATGTGTAGCTAGGATTAGGGGAAATGAACCAGGAATGACGCAGCACCCTCAGGACTAACAACAGGGAAGCTTCTAAAGATCCTAGGATTTGTGAGGTCAAAGAGAGGAAATCATTTCCAGAACCCAACCCAGACTAGACAGGGCCTCCAGACAAGATTTGCTGCCTTCCGCAAAGGGACTCTGTCAAACTACAGGGAGGGATCCTTGGAAATAAATATCCTAGTTCACTCTATTCTTTTTTTTCTGCAGTGGCTTCCAATGACTGGACCCAACTAAAAGCCCGAGCAAAGAAGTCTGTAGAAGCTGTTCAAAGTGGTTAATTCTCTGGGGCACAGAGCAGGGAGAAAAACAGTAAAGAATGGATGCTGAAGACTAAAAAAAAAACCATCAGCCTACATTATTTTCTTTCACTTAAAATTAATTTTATTTCAGGGACTCCATCCCAAATCCATCCCCTCCTCCTCATCCACACACATCCCATCTTCAGCAGAGCACAGTTTAGTTTTTCGTCCAGATTCTGCCCACATTTACTGCTGAGATGAGCGCTGTCCAGCTTGCAGGAATGCCCAAGTCCAGTGGTTCTGTGGCTTTGCATCACAGTGTTCATAGGAATCTTCGCTAGAGTTGAGAACCTGGAGGAACAGGGTGCTACTCAAATGTGCCTACTATGAAGACATCCTCCACATTTCAAAGTCCTTCCAGCGAGCACAAGAGAAAGCAGCCATAGTCCCACGTACACAGAGGAGCTTACTGCTTTTCCTCAGGTTTGAGACTCTCCTTACCTTGAACTCTGCTTTTGCTTATCTCTCTTCAGACACTAACTCTTTTCCTCTTCCACTCTGAATTCCCTGGCGTAATTTATTCAGTAAGCTTGGATTCTCACAAAATTAAGGAGGGGAGGGTCTTCTGGAAGCAGCTTCTGCTTTCAGCCCTGCAAACTACCAACTGCCAGAAACTTGGCTTTCTGGAATAAGGAAAAAGAAAGTCACAGAAACAAATCCAGTTAGTCAGAATTCTCTCTAAGTCTTCTATTGCAACATAAATAACATGCAATTTAATTTACATAATCAAGTTGGAAATTTAAATGGAGTTGGGGTAGCATAGCAGAAGGGGAAATTGATGTTAATTCTAGCTTGTATATAACATAGAAACAAGAAAAAATATACACATAAATCATCAATGTATATAAAGATAGAAAAACAACCACAGCCTTATCACTTGTCTCACTACACATACATCCTTTCCCCTTCACTCTTTGTCTCCATGTTTCTGAGCCTCAGAGGTTGCAGAGATGGAGGGAGGCAGGAGAATGAAGCTAAGCATATAATGATGTAGCTTCACCCACAATTTTCAAGCAAACTTGCCTCGTGTACTTGATGACTTTCCAGAGCTGAGTCTTACATAATCTGCATGGATGAGGCCAAGAGGAATTAATGTGGGTTCAAAACTGAGGAGATGGTCCTGTCTTTGACCCTTGATGAATCTCAGGTCGAATCCCTATTTTATGATCTACTAGGTTTATGATCTTAAACAAATTGAGTAACTATTTTGAGTTTTGGTGTCCTCATCTGTAAAATTATGACAATAACACCAAACTTGCTGAGTTGGTGTAAAGATTTGAAATGATAAACACAAGGTCCCTGTTTAGTACGTAGACCATGGTAGGTACCAGATTAAGAGTGCTTCCTTTTCATAGCCAAGTAATTATGCCACCCTCACAACCACAGAAAACAGCAAACCAGAGAAAGACCTGAGAAACTGATGAATTAAAAAATGAACTGACCAAGTGTGGTGACTCAAGCCTGTAATCCCAGCAGTTTGGGAAGCTGAGGCGGGAGGCTGAGGTAGGAGAATCACTTGAGGCCAGGAGTTTGAGCAACATAGCAACACAGCTGTATTCCCAGCTATTCAGGAGGCTGGGGAAGGAGAGGCAGGATTTCTTAAGCCTGGAAGATCCAGTTTGCAGTGAGTTATGATGGCGCCACTGCACTCCAGCCTGGGTGACAGAGAGAGACCCTGTCTCTAAAGAAAACAAAAAGTCAAAAAGAAAAATGAACTGGACTGAGAGTTAAGGACAAATGAAATTACAAGTCTCTACTCAGAAGATATTTTTGTCTCTTCTGTCCAGTTTTTGTTTGCAGGAAATGAGAGGGATCCTCTGATTACCAAATTTACTTTCAACAAGAGGTTGGTCCCCATCTGGAGCAAAAGGCAGCAGTAATCCCAATCCAG